CCTCTGGGCTAGAATCTTCTAGTCTAGTAACCAATTTTAGGTATTTGGGACATAGCAGCTTTTGGTTGATACAAAACATTTGCTTTCAAGAGAGGAGCTGCGAGTACTACACGGTTTTTTTTTTTTGTTGACAATTATGTACGTGTTTGGCTGAGAACGTACATTTTTCCTCTCCATTTAACAGGTTGTTATGTCTGAAATTTCCCAGAGTTTTTTCTTTGGCTCGTTAACTTGAAACAACTGTTTCGTGCTCTCGTCATATTCATTCAAAAAGAAAAAAAAAAAAAAAACAATGTTTGAAGTAAGAAACGTGATGTGTTTTTTAAAAGTATTTCTTTTTTATGTATTTTTTTTTTCAGAAAGCACGTCGAAAAACCTTATTGATATTTGCAAGCAAATGCGCCGAGGTTAATGGCGAACATTAGTGCACTTAGTGCAGCTTGACCGTGTTTTAGATGAAAGGTTCGGTTGTGAATTAGAAAAAAAAAAATTTTTTTTTAATTTCGAATTTGCAAGTTTTATAAAAGTAATGTTGGGTCTTATTTTATTTTCTTTTTTGAGTAAAAAAAAGTACTTCTTTATTAAACATGCATGTTTTTGGGTGGTTTAAATGGCAGTTGTCAAAAATACTGACGTCTAATTTGTTCTTTAAAATTTTATACCTTTCCCAAGCACTATTTTGGAAATAGTTGTTCACAAGGCTCAAAGCAACTTGGAAATTAATTTTTTAAAAACTGAGATTATAAAAATATATTATGCTATTTTAAGTGTTCACAACATTGAATTTTGTATTGCTGTTATCATTAATTGGTGTCCTTCACACCGGGTTTGAGCAGGGAATAGAAAGTAGTCAAAATAATAATTTGTTCATTGTCAGTTTTCTATAAATAGTATCATTTGATTGAGTAAGTGCTGAAAAGATGAAAGATTTGTGTCTGCAGGTTTAGTAATTTACACTTGTGTTGAACGTGACCACAAAACGTCGAGTATTTTCTTCACTTTTGCTTTAAAATTAATTAAAACTTTTTTTGTCAAATAAATACTTAATTTGAACTAACCAGTTTTATGTGTGATTTTAAGTCGTAACACAAATAACAGAGTGTTTTTAGGCTCAGTTCCTCAAATTACATATTTACGCGTATTATGCAGGATAGGCATTCGTATCGCCTACGTGAAATTTTATATTATTCAGAGGCGGTTTGTTGATATGAATCAAAAAAATTGAGGGGTTTGCAGATGTTTTTATTTTTTCTGCTAAGGAACTTGAGGATTTATTTTGTTGCCACTGAGCGTAGTCCAGGAAAACTACAACGAATAACAGATTGCTGTCAGGCAACTTTGAAAACAATTAAATAAGTTGGAGTGTCAGTTGAAGGTTATCAGCAGATGAAAGTTCGTGAAGGAGGGAAGTGCATGAATACGGTTCTTCAGTTGTGAGTCAGTGGAAGTTTACAAGGCTGTGAGCAGTTCTCCTTAGCGATATTGTTCCTCCTTGGCCTCCTCCAGTCGTTCTCTTCATTACATCTGTTTTCCTGTTCCTTTTCTTCCTACCTTTTTTTTGTTGCTTTTGTCGCAGATAATGTGTGTATGAAGTTGTTGAATTTTCAGAATCCCATAAGTTTTTTCTTTATTTTTTTTTCTGGCACTCAAGTTTTTGAAGAAGTCAAAAGTTTTTAACAATTTTATTCACTTTTTTTTTTGGCTTGTATGTACACTGAAGTTAGACTCAATTTATTTACTTTTTCCTTTTGATTGTAGTTCAAAATTAATCTTTGAACCGTTGTACTGTGAAATTATTTCTTCTTCTTTTTGCTTTTGCTGTTTTATTCAGAAATTTTTGAACTCATTGTTATAGGGAAATTCGTGCAGCTAAAGCATTTAAAATTGTTTCCAGTAATCATCAGTATTTTCAATATTATAGTTGCTGTTCTTTTTTTTTTGAAGGTGCTTTAACTGCAAAATTTTGTTACTGATGACTATGATTACAGAGAACTTCGTAGCACTAAAATTTGTCAAATGTTTTTTTTTTTTCTTTGGTATAATTTTTGAAACGAATTTTTCTGAAGTTTCGATCGTATCGCAGCATTCACGACATTGAAAACTTCCTAAAATTATTTTATCTAATTGTTCGTTCACCTGCGCTCCAAAAGAGAAAAATTGACTTTGGTGTAAAAAAGTATAGTAAAAGGTACCGCTTCTATGAGCTACAAAAGACAAACAGTTTATCAGCAACCACTGTCAACTTTGACGACTAATGTACTGTAGGAAAAAAACCAGAGTTTTCTAAGTAGTGTCTTGAAAACCGTTGTTTGTTACTGATATAAATATATGTAGAAGTGTGACAACGACAGCAGTAATTGTTAACGGATACTGTCGGGGATAGTTCTTCTTAGCGCTTTTTTACAACTGTTATTTTGAAGATTTTTTGCATTTGGAAGTTAAACATTATTTGTTTGCAGGTAATTTTACATCTTTGTAGTATAATTAAGCGGTATGTAAAACTGCTGTTTTACTACTGTATTATTTTTTAGTCACTATTCAAGTATCACTTATAACCGATCCGCTGTTGTAATACGAGATTAATTATTAATAATTGTTGAACAGAATCGAATATCTTGAGTAGTATTTCTTTTAGACGAAAGCATTAAGTTTTGGAAGGCTGTCGGTGACGAATTATTCAGAAGTTCGTGTTCCTAGATGAAAAAAGTTATAATTTGCAACTGTTGAAGTCCTGTTGGCTACTGACAGTGGAATACAGTATTATGCTACAGCCTTTTTTTTTTCATCATAAAGCTGATTAAATGATGCAACCGATCTCTGCTGTACAGCCTTCCAGTTGGTTGGTTACTCATTAACGAATGCGGTTGGGTATTCTTGAGTAACAGATGTAACTCGTTAAATGATACTCGGGACTGAGTTGGTGCTATAATTATTCATCTTAGGACCAAAGTATACAATAGGGAATGGCAACTTTGTTAATGGTTAACAGCATAGAAAAATTGCTTGCTGAGTTTCTATAGTAAAACATTTTGCATTAATAAACACTTACACTCAGCCCAAATTTCAATTTTTCCACTAGAAAGTTTTATTTGAAATAACAACCGTTTGATAGAGGTATTGGTTAATAACTGCCAACTATACGTGCCTCCAGACGTCACTTTAGGTCGAGTTGGAAATACAATTCAATTACCAGTTCATTAGTGGCGGTCAATTTTCCAAAGCATTCCAATGCTTTGAAATAGCCTCCACATTGTCCCATGGGTTTGTAAGAAACGTCAGCGTGTTCAGTGTACAACTAATATATTCCATTTGATGAACGATGGTGGTTATTTGCCAAATTTTGTCCACCTCAAACATGCACGGCGCATCCGAATCCAATCGTGCCCACTTCTGCTTAACGAACTTCTAGTACGCTCGAAAAACACGTTGCAACATTTTTTTATTTTCAGATTGCTCATCTCAGGAGAAACTATTAGGAATCGTGAGGTTTACTTTTCGTATTTGCATTTCTGTTTTATTTCCTCGATAATTTTACAGCCGCATTGATACGGCTGTTCCCAGTACTCTGAATGAGCATTTGAACAGTATTTGCAATTCCATCTGTCACTCCACTTGCAGCGGTCAGATACTGTAGGCCAACCAGTGGGAGCCAAGGCAGAGTGGTATTTTAAGGTACCAAGAAAAAATCTTATAGATTTTTTTTTTCCAATCAAGTCTTACCATTAGTGTATCAGCGTAATTGAGTGAGGCTTGACAAACAGCTTTGCTGCAGTAATGTCCTTCAATCCAGCACTTGTTTAAAGAATTCTTGTTATGTTTTTTCATTTATTCATGGGTTTTAATTTTAGAAGCCCCATTGTATCCTGATTTAATGCTTGTTTGAGAAACGGGAGGATACATTTCAACAAAAACTGTATTACTGTCGCTTAGAGTGGTGTCTGTAACCTTCCTCTTGACTTCCAGTACTTCTACATGCGGGCCATCAGAAGTTCCAAGAGTTTAATCATACCGATTATCCAAAGCAATTTCTTTATTTCTGACTGTTCAATCCTTCATTGTTTCGATTTCTAAAAAGAAGCGAAGTATCTCAAGCATTTATTGCAATTTAGCGGTTGTTGAGCACTAAGCGGCATTCAAATACAGCATCGTATTTCACTGAAGCTTGGTTGCCAATTAATCTTCCTAATTTTCACTGCTTTTCTCTCCCGATTTGTTTAGTTTTACTGACCGTCAAAAGTCGTTCTGTGTTGTTTTTTCACATGTTGGAGGTTATCCCCTGTTGCGTGTAAATTAGTATTAGCTAAGACAGCGACAAGAAAGTTTAATACAGGTTAAACCTTTAAGCTGTTGGGTGGGATTAATTTTAATAGGCTTTTGTTTAGAGAATTATCCAAGGAACATCTGAAATATGAATTTTTGGCTGGAGAATTAGCTAGGTTTAAGTTTTTCGCCATTAATAATTTTAAGAGGGCTTTGACCACTTAAGCGCAAGTTCAATTCAAAAATGACACTTGCGTAAGACCTTTGCATCCATGTAGCTTGACAGGCGAAGGGTCTCCACACGCCACCCGATCAATAGACCGACGAACAAATTTTTTAATTCTAATGAGCAAAAAAACAAATCTTTTGAAAGTCTGATAGTTGAGTTTGACAGTTTGTTTTTCTTCACTTTTTAATACCTTCGCCATCCATACAGCTGGAGGAGCTCTTCATGACGAGTGTTTGTTTGCTTTGATATTTGCTTTCAATTTTTGCTAAAACTTCGCCATGAGGCTTAGCGCTGACCCTGCGCGTTTCTCACGGTGTTCCTTTCCGTCTACGTCTAAGCTAAAAACTTCCCATCAATACAATTAAGTTCTTCTAAACTTTTTGTTCTTTTCTTTTCTTTACTAATGCTGTTATGGTAGAGAACATGTTGACTATACGTTTGTTTTGCGTATCGAAGGAGCGATTTATGCTTGATAAATTGAGATAGATGTTAGTTGTTGCAGCTGCCCAATATGGCATTTCAAAGCAGGTTACCACTAGCCAAAGCTGTCGTCGACCAGTTCATGAAATTAGACCCAGTTAAAGGGTTATGTCAGGTTATTTTTATTGGTACACTGAAGTTTCCGGTTTAATCAGTCAAAGTTTGAATGGGAGGCATAAAAAAGCATACTCGATCGGCTAGAGAAATTACCAAGGGAAAAGTGCTAGATATTCACCTGCAGTAAATTTTACAGGCTACATATGTATGGATTGATGGAACTGGTGAGAACTTGAGGTCGAAGACAAGGACTATGAAAAAGATTCCTGGCTCTTTCCAAGGTAGAGTCTTCATGCTTATCGAATTTTTATTGGCATTTAGCACTTTGTAAGTGGATTTATAGATAGAACCATAGGCGGTAAATCAGTGGTGAATTGCTATTTGAATACTCATACAATTGTTTCAACCGTTCCTGTCGCAAAAATTCAGGTTCATAATTTCTAAACTTTTTAGAGTGTCCAATGTGGACTTATGATGGATCATCGACATTCCAGTCGCAAGGGGGTAATTCAGATATGCATTTGAAACCTGTGGCCATGTACCCAGATCCTTTCCTTGGTGGAAATAATAAACTAGTGCTGTGCGAGACCTATGATTCTGAAATGAAACCAGCTAGTAATTTTTCACATTATGCTAGTAGAACTGTAAAAAACGGTTTTGAGAGAACAGCGGTATTTAATTTTTTGATGCAGCTAAAAGTGTAGTAAACCGTCTTCTTTTTTTTTTT